TTATGTTATATCTATTAATCCATATTAGATAATTTAAAAATTCTTTCGAATATTTTTACATATTATTATTATTAAATTGATTCAATAATAATATTTTTTAAAAATACTAAATATTTTGAGAAAAATAAAAAAACGTAATTTTTTGTGTGCGTGTATGATTTTATAGTCGTAATTTTTGAACGGTAAGCAGTAACAAAAATCTGATTTCATAATTGAAATCTAGAGTAAAAATCCTATAAAATTGATACCTCACACGATACCTAGGTCTCATCATAGACCCTAGGGCCCATTTTTTTTTTTTTTTTTTTTTTTTCGAAAATATTAACCCACCTAAGACTTAATATAAACTCATTTAGACCTTAAATAAAGATTTTAGCATTTTTTAGTGTATTTTAGATAAATTTTAATATTTAATTTTCAATTTACCCCCTGTAGACACTTTGGTTGTTGTTAAAACACCCAAAGTCAAAACTACACCCAAAGTCGAGCCACACCTGAACGACTATTTTTTATTTTTGTGTAAAAACCGAGGCACACCCGATTTAATTGCAATTAGAAGGTGAAATTTTCTGTATATATATCGCAAGTTTAGTTAAATAAATTTATCATTTAGTTTTACAACTACTTTTGTATAACTTTTTAATATTAATAATATTAATAACTATGCCTAAAGTTAATAAAACTAAACTTCATTCATGTGATTGCTGGTACAACAGAAAACCACTTCCAAACTGGCCGTCTCCATCAAATGGTATGTATTACTAAATAATTATATATATTTAAATAATTTTGTTATATTATATTAATATTTTTTTTATTTTTCAATAGTTTGCGAAAACAATAAGGTGTATAAATGCTCCCTATGTGGATACGAGGATTGGATCATATCTGCTGTCAAAACGCACATCGTTCGAAGACATTCAAAACAAGTTCAAAAGCATTTCGATGAATTTGGTGACGTCAGAAAATTTGTTGAAGTTTGGGACCTGAAGACGGAAGCGGTGGACGACAATATTAACTTGGATTAATTTTTGTATTTTTTTATAACTTAATATTGTCTTTAAATTAATAAAATTAATTTTATTTTCAAAATTGATGTGTATTTTTTCTTAAAAAACTGGTCAAAGGAGGTAAGTGTTAAAACCTAGACAACAGAAGTTATATATTAAGTATATTACATGTAGTTAATAATGTTATTATTAATAATATATTTATTAATAATTTAATTGTTGTTTTTGGATGTTTTTAGATTTTTTTGAATAAATTTGTAAACACAAAACTTTTATTAAACAGTACAAGTAATAAATAAATATCAAATTTTAACATTAATGTTAAAATAATAATAGTTTTATTGGAAAAATTAAATTAAATATTAAATTAATATTAAAATATTATAAAATAAATAAAATTGTTTTTAATTTACAAACCTTTAATTTTAGAAGATTTATAAATAATAATTTTAAAAAAAATAAATTAATTAAACACTTGTTATGATCACAAAATTATTAATTAATTAATTAATACTATAAAAAACTAACACTTTGTTAAAAATCACACCACAAAATATTTTTATTATTATTATTAAATTAGATTATTTTTTTAACTAATAAGTTTCAATAATTATAGTCTATTAATAATAATAATAATAATATTTATATTTATTTTATAGTTTAATGTATTCATACACACAGTTAATGTTCAATTAATTAAAATTAATAACATAACATCAAATTGATTTTGTCTATCAAAAAAAAATATATTAATAATATTATAGTATACTATATGCGTAAAATGTTTAGTTATTTTCTAATCACAAAAATTTATATATATATATATCTATATATATACAGTATATATATATAATTATCAAACAAATTGTTTACTTAATATACTGTATAAATGTATTTAACTTTTAAATCTCATTTAAAGTGTGTGTGTGTGTTGTGTGTGTGTGTATATAATAAACTACTCGATAGACGATTACATTTATATTATAATTATTATTAACTACTAAATTGATAGATATATTGATTAGAAAGAGAGAGAGAGAGAGAGAGAGAGAGAGAGAGAGAGAGAGAGAGAGTCAGAGTCAGAGACAGTGGTTATTAATATATAACTATATCGAAGGCCATTATATTTCAATACATCAAAGAAATTAGATATTTATATATATTTAATAAAATATATTTTTAAAAATACAATATATTTATATTTCAATAATTTGGAAAAATTTGAAAAATTTCAATAAATTCAATAATATTTTTAAAATATAAAATTACATATACATTACAAAAAAAATATTAATACCGTAATAATAATAATAATAATTTTAATATATTTTAATTTGTTGTTTAAACCATGTTTCGGTAATTAAAAAACTTTTTATTGTTTTTAATTATAATAATAAATAACGGATTATTTATTATTTATTTATTTTTTAATACCAAGGTAATACCACAAAAGTAATTTGTTTTTTTTCGTGTAAAATAATTTTTATTTTAAAAAAAAGTTATGAATAAAAATTACAAAATTATTATAATATTATACTACATATAAATAGTTAAAAAATTTTTTTGCTGTATTTTCCTTATAAAAAAAGTCAATTATATTTAAATTTATTTCAAAATAATTTTGTGTTTGTATTTTATATGACAAAAAATTCAATGATCTCTCTCTCTCTCTCTCTCTCTCTCTATTTTATTATTTATTATATTATTATTATTTGGACCACACATATACACACACACACATTATATGTACACCCATTTTTTCAATATTATTATTATTATTATTGAATTTTTTTGTATAAAAATTTTTGTAATAATAATAATAATAATAATAATACTGTACTTTACTTATGTAATAGAAATTTGATGTACATATATATAAATATATAGGTTCTCAGGTGTAATAAATATTAATATAATTTTATGATCAGGTAATTATTGGTTTTGCATTGATATATGCAGTATATATATATGAGATATTATTAACATATATAAGTTATTATCATATATTACGATACATATGATGTAACATCGATTTTGAAGACACATTCAATAATAATATACAATTTTTTCGTGTATATATATATATACTGTACAGTTATATACATGTATATAAAGGGGGGGACAGGTATGCTGCTATATATATATATGAGAGCACAGTTACTATACATTATGTGTTGGTTTTTTTTTGTTGAGGGCGTTGTTCACAATCAAATCACACAAAAAAATTTTATTTAACATTTACTCAAAAAAAATTCAATTTTTTTTATTAAATATTTAATAATAATTTTACTTACATTTTTAGTCATCGTTTATAACTAATAATTATTTTTGTGTGTGTGTGTGTGTGGAAATTATCGTTGAAATTTATTATTAATAAATATGATAATTTTTATTATTATTATTATTATGCATATATATACAGTATATATTATTATATTAGTAATATATATATATACTGTATAAATACAGATATAAATTATCAATACATAAATAAATATTGCTAACTCAGTAAAATTATTATCTATATGTTAATAAAATTATTAAATATAAACATATATTAATATTAATATATACACAGTATATATATACATATATACTGTATGTAAAACTGATTAATAATAATATTTTCAGCAAATATAATGTTAGTTTTGTAGCCAGAAATTACAATGACCTGCATATTAATGATGATAATAGTGATAATATAAAATAATAATAATATTTATATTAGACTTAAACTAAAAATTATCACCCACACCCCTCCTCCCCACCCATCCCCCTCTCAATATAAATAAGTATACAAAATAAAATTGCTAGCTAAACACTTAGTTAAAAAAATGTCAAAGGTCACACATAAAAATAAATTACTAATATTTTTTTATATAAAAAGTTAATAATAAATATTAATATAAATTATTTATGGCTGTATAATAATTTTGACATTTAATTAATAATAGATATATTATTTTATTTTTTTTGGATAAATATTAATATACTATTAATAATTATTTTATGAAAATGATTTTTGTTTGTTTGTTTGTTTTTTCAATATAAGATTTTTTTGCGTAAAATTTTAATCAATAAATCAATTGGATTTTTGTGTGCAATAATAATAATAATACTAATTTATAAATTAACAAAATTTATTCAAACATATTCAACAACAACAACAAAATTAAGTTAAAGGCTAACTATATATATATATATGCTATTTATCGATAATTTTGTTGTACATCAAACCATACATACATTAAAATTATAATATATTATTATATTTACACAACAATTACTTGATATATACAGTATAATAAATAAATAAATATATATATAAATATTTATCAATTGTTAATTAATTTTATAATTAGTTATTTATAATTACTTTCATAATTATTATTTTCAATAATCAATATTTTTTAAGCAATTAAAATCATTGCTAACTACTACTACTACTACTACTATAGTATACTATTGTAATGATAAAAAAAATTAAAAAATGTTAGTTATCACAAATATATATATATTTTTATCTCAATTATTTTTTTCATCATAAAGATACTGTACATACGTAACATATATTAAAAAAAATTTTAGTACTAATACTTACGTTAAAATGTTATATAAATTTATATTTTATTTGTGATGATATCTCATATATACTGTATATATATATATATTGATATATCCTTACACTTGGCTATTGATTACGTGTGTATCGATTAACTCGTGAAACACTTTTAATTAGATAATAATAATAACATAGTCTTGTCTTATAATTAATTAATGACACAATAATTAGCTTTTAAAGGGAAATAAATTATATATTATCTTCAGTTAACATAAAATTAAAAACATTTTTTTTCTTATTTTTTTTTATAAATAAAAAAATTATAAATATTTTTATTTTATTTATTTTCAATAATACAGTAATAATAATAATTAATATTAATCACAAAAAATTGTCTCTTTTTTCTTTCTAAATATATATATATATATATATATATAATAATAACAACATATACTGTAGTATCAAAAGTCAAGTTTTGTTGTTTGATTATTATTGTCTATATAAGAGCAACAATGGTTAAGTGTATTGGTATCATAACCGGGATGTCCTCCTCCTCCTCCATGACCACCACCACTACCACCTCCCGGTGCTCCGCCAATAGGTTCAACCAAATATGTTATCAGTGACTCTGAATCGTCTTTTGAAACATTTAACTGTTGAGAGTTGACTGTAATATATTGAATATATATACAGACAAACAAACAAATAAATATATAAATAAATATAAAATAAAACAAATAATTAATTTTTAGTTCAAACAATACGGGCACCAAAAAAAAAATATATAACTATTTATATATATATATATAGTTAACAAACAATATAATAAATATTAGGCACACATGATATAAAAATAAAGTTAGAGATACGAGAAAAAAAATAATCAATAAAATACTCGTAAATGTAATAAAATATTAAATTATATAATATTATATAACATACAGTACTGTATATCATATGCCATATATATATATATATATATAATAATTTGCGTGCATTTCAACAAAAGGCAATATTATATATAATAATAAATATTAATATAAAAATATATTGTATTTATTTTAAGCTGAAAAAAATGTGTGCAAAAGATAGCTCTCATTAGCGGATAATCTAATAATAAATAATAATAATTTATATAATATATATATATAAAAATAATATATAAACCATAAGTAAAATAATATATAAAAAAAATAAAGGGATGAGAAATTGTTAACACAAAAAAAGTTTGCCTTTTAATTGTATTATATTAACATAAAACCAAAAAAAAATCATAATTTATATATAATTTTTTTTCTATGACAGAAAGCAATCTAATATAATATAATATACATATATACTGTATAATACATATATATATATAACTAATTTTTTTTATATTTTAGATGTTTGTCTTTTTTTTGAATTAATAAAAGTCATGAATAATTAGACTAATAATTTTTTTGGTGGCCATAAAAAAAAGTTAATTTTTCAAACAACACAACAAAACAACAACAAAAAACAATATAAAATATTTGTTATTATATATAAATTATATATAATATGTTATATAAGATATTATTAAGAGGAAAGTCGTTAAAAAAATATAAGTGATAACTACCCGCATAACTATAGAGATGTATATCACTTTTTGGATGCATTTTAGGTGTCATCCTCTTGACAGTGGCGTAGTGTCCGCCACCACCTCCACCACCGCCACAATCGGTGGCCATCTTTCTAATGGTTCCGTTATTATCGACAAATGTTATACTATCGTCAATCTGTGTCGTGGCGTATGGGGTCGGATAGTATAGGCATTTACCGCCGCCGCCGCCGCCGCCACTGGTATTCAATAGCATTGGTCGTTGATATTCACTACCAGTGCTCTGTATAGTAGTCATTGGATTACGATTAGCACTACTACTGGTAGTTGTCTTATCCATATCACACAAATTGACATTATTATCATCTATACCACCACCACAGCCACCACCACTACCTATACCACCGTTAAGTATATTTTGCTTACCATTAGTCATACGATTGCCATTTGCTGTCATTATTATTGGGGGAAAAAAAGATAGAGATGTTAGCTAATAGTTCCCAATAAAAAAATCACTATTAAATAGTAGGGGAACAGTAGTCTCGGATATATATTATAAGATATATATACTAACAGCCATTAAATGTATCGTTTGGATGTCGTCTATGTATAACAATACAGACCAGTAGTGTAACAATGACTACGACTATACCACTCAAAGTTAACGGCAAAATCACTTCAAACTCCAACAGTACTGATGTCTTGTAATCGCTTAGTATTACTGCCTCTTCATTCAGTTCAGCGTTTAGATTGTCTATTAAATTACATAATAATAATAATAATAATACATATATTAATAAATATATTTTTTTAGTAATATTAAACCATATTATTATTGTTGTTATTAACAATTTAAAAAAAATATATTTATACATTAGTTTACATATCAAACAAAACACTAAATATTTTTCTTAACATTCATTATGATTAATATTCATGAATATTATTATTTAATATTATTTTGTTAATACTATAAGTACTATAAGTCTATTATTTAAGTTAAATATATTTATATAAAAAAATGTAATCACAAAAATCTGATAAACTTTATATACTGTATATAAGTTTACTACTACTCAAACAAAAAATTAATTTACCGTAAATATTAAATGCTAATAATAACTACTACTGTTGTATTGTTTTATTGAAAATAATAATAAAAAAAATTATATATACTGTATATATATGAAAATCTTATATAATATACAGTATATTAAACAACAATAAACTTAAGTAAACAATTTCCTTAAATAATATATTATATAATATTATATAATATTATACACAATATATTATAATATTGTTGAAGTAAAATATCTTTTAACATTAAGTGATTCATAAAATGCTTCATATATTTCAAATAACAAAAAATTTTTTATTATATATATTTATACAGAAAAAAAAATATTTTAATATATTTTCAAATATTTCTAATATACAGTATATATATATATATATATATAAGTACATAGACTTAGCAACAAAATTCAAATATACCGTTCAATTTTAATATGTAATTTTTTTTGTCAGGTAAATAACACTAAATTTTTTTTTAGTTTTTATCTCATATAAGACATTATGAATATATATATATAAATATATGTATATAAATAAAAATTGTTATATATATATATATATTGTAAATATATAAAGTGTCTAAACTTATATAAATAAGCGCTGACTCAACGCGTTTCCGTATATTTAAAGATTTTCAATAGAGATTTCATAGTATAGTATAGTATTTAATATATATATAGAATATTCTGTTAGAAAATTCTGCTTAAAAATAAATATATAAATAAATGAAAAGTGAGATAAAGTTTTTTTTTAAAAAAATAATAAAAGTGACAAATAAAATATTAAATATATAAAAAATAAAACTATAAATTCTATAGCTTTTAATATATATATATATATATATATATATATATATATTAAATACATTTTTGATGTTTATTAAAAAAAATTTTGAAAAAATATGAATTAAAATAAAATCTAATATAGTTTTAACTTACTGTTAAAAATAATTGACAGTTTTAATATTATAGTATTTTATTTATTTAAAAATATTATTATTATTACTATTATTCACTTAAATGTTGACTATATATATAAAAAAAACTATTATAAAAATTACAAATAAATAATAATAATAAAAACAGTGATCTCTTTCAAAAACTATAATTTAAATTTATAAATAATTTATTAAACCATTTAACCCTATGATATATATATATATATATTGTTAATGCAATTTAAACTATTGTTATTAAGTCTCATAACAATTATTGTAATATTTTTTTTACTGAATATAACAAATTTAAAATCTCTATACAAACATAAAAAATTTTATATATCTTAATGAATACATGAAATGATTTATATTAGAATTTTATATATAAATTATATTATATAATATTATACTAAAACTTATTATTATTATTATAGTTAACTTAATATTTATAGTCACAAAAAAAATTAAATGACATTTAATAAACAGTACAAAAGCTATTACTGTATATATGAAAACTAATGCTTAAGTCGGCATAAAATTTATACATTTATATTAATAAATTTATAATAATAATACTACTGTAGTATAATATTATTATTATATTTAAAAACTTTTATGGGATTTTCTATTTAAAAATTTATGCATATATTAAATTAAATAATTTTTAAAAAAAAATTTTTCATAAAACTTATATAGCATATATAATAATTTATATAATATAATAAATTTATTTTACACTATTTAGTATTATTAAGATTTTAATTTTAGTTACGATTTATTGCTTTAACATATTTTAGATGATATAATTCAACTTAATTTTTTTGTTTTGCTTAACTACTATAGTCTACTAAATTTATTTTTTGTTTTGTTTTGTTATGTGTGTAGACTCATAAAAAACACAATTTTAATTAATTAATTTAATGTGTTTTTTGTTGTTGTATTTTTTGCAGACACTTTAAAAACATTAATTAGAAAATTAATTAATAATAAAATTTACTTATTTTTTTGTGCATAATATAAGAAAAACTACTTCTACTTACTATAAGTAAGTGTTTGTATGTATAATAAAATGTTTTTTATAAAAACCCTATATATATATATATTTACTATACTTAAAACAATTACATGTATATTAAGTGTTTATAAATATCTTAAAATATAAGGTTTACATATTTTTTCAAATAATTTATAATTAAAACTTTAATCCATATTAACTACTATTACATATACATTATATTCAAATACCTGAATAACAGCATAATAATAATAATATAAAAAAATTATTTCTATATTTATTTACTACTTAATTAAACATAATTTTTATATTATAGTTTTATATTTAAAAGTAATAAAATTTTTTACAAACTGTAATTTTTCAATAATTGTACTTGTTAATTTATTAAGATACTATATTACATTAATAAAATTTGATGAAAACTCATATTGGCATATATTTAAATTATTTATTATTATAATAATAATATATATTTTTTGTTTTATTAATTTAACTTAAATTCAAATTATTAAAATTAAATGTGACTTATTATGACAATATATATATATATACAGTATATTACGTTTTTGAGCTTATAATTGTGTAATAATAATTAAAATTAAATAATTAATTAAAATTTCTAATACTAATATATTAATAGTTAAATAACAGTATAATAATAATATCAAAAATTATTTCTATTTTTATTAGTAATAAATTATTACTATAATACTTAATTAAACACAATTTTCTAGTATAGTTATATTAAAGTAATAAATTTTTTTTGCAAACTGTAATTTTTCAATAATTGTACATGTTAATTCATTAATATAATATATTACACTAATTAAATTTGACTGACACCGGACATTGACATTTATTTACATTATTTATTATATATACATATTATGTTTTTGCGCTAATAATTGGCTAATAATAAAAATTAATTAATTAATTAAAATTTCTAATAATATTATATATGACTATAATAAATAAAACTGTAACTTTTAAATATATGTACTTGCTAACTACTTTTAAATTGAATAGAAAAATTATATAAATAGTTAATATTATATTAAGTAGTAATATAATAAATTAATATATTATAATAATAATAGTAATAATAATATCAAAAATTATTTTTATATTTATTACTACTTAATTAAACATAATTTTATAGTATAGTTATATTTAAAAAGTAATAAAATTTTTGCAAACTAATTTTTCAATAATTGTACATGTTAATTGATTAACATACTATATTACACTAATAAAATTTGATTGACAATAGCACTGAAAAATATATTTACATTATTTATTATTATAATATTTATATATAGTTTTATTAGCTAAGTAAGTGTAATGTATAATAAAATGTTTGTTATACTAACCGTATATATAGTGCTTAAAACAATTACATGTATATTAAGTGTTTATAAATATCTTAAAATATAAGATTTACAATTTTTTTTGAATAATTTATAATTAAAATTTTAATCCATATTAACTACTATTACATATACATTATATTCAAATAGCTTAATAACAGTATAATAATAATATTATCAAAATATTATTTCTATATTTATTTACTACTTAATTAAACATAATATTTTAGTAATAATATTTTTGCAAACTGTAATTTTTCAATAATTGTACTTGTTAATTGGTTAAGATACTATATTACACTAATAAATTTTGACTGACAACTCACATTGGCATATATTTACATTATTTATTATAATAATATTATATATATATATATATAATATATTTTTTGTTTTATTTGCTAAACTTAAATTCAAATTATTATTAAAATTAAATATGACTTATTTTGAGATAATATAAATATAAATTATGTTTTTGAGCTAATAATTGGGTAATAATAATAATTAATTAATTAAAATTTCTAATAATATTATATATGACTATAATAAATAAAACTGTAACATTTTCAATATATTTATACCTTGCTAACTACTTTTAAATTAGAATTGAAAAATTATATAAATAGTTAATATTTTATTAAGTAGTAATATAATAAATTAATATATAATAATAATAATAATAATAATAGTAATAATAATATCAAAAATTATTTATATATTTATTACTACTTAATTAAACATAATATTTTAGTAATAATATTTTTGCAAACTGTAATTTTTAAATAATTGTACTTGTTAATTGTTTAAGATACTATATTACACTAATAAAATTTGACTTACATATATTTATTTATTATAGATTTATTGTTTTATTAGCTAAACTTAAATTCAAATTATTATTAAAATTAAATGTGATTTTTTTTATTTTGAATATATATATATACATAATTACAATAATTAGGTAATAATAATAATTAAAATTTCTAATAATAATAATAATATAGGACTATAATAAATAAAACTGTAACTTTTTAAATATTTATACCTTGCTAACTACTTTAAATTTTGAAAGTTTTAAATTTTGTATTTTTTTAATAAAAAATTTTATAAATATCAATAGATAAATATTACTATAGAAAATAATAATAATTTTTTTTATAATAGTATTGATAATATTATTGAAAATTATAAAATTTTATAATAATAATAAACTAAATTTATATTATTTTAACCTTAAATATCTATTAAGATTAATTAAAATATTTTTTGATTTAATATAAAAATATTACATTATTATATTCAAATGTGACTTTATACTATTTTACTTTATTTTATTATTGTTATAAAACATGATAATG